CCCCCGCCAATGCAAAAGGGGGGGGGGGGGGACCAGGGCCAGCCATCTAGTTACAAATGCGTCCTGGAACAAAAAGTTTGAGAACCACAGGACTAGACTACAGGCAAAACAGGTTAGCATATCAGTCTCTGATGCATGCATACACCCACCACCAGCTCGCACTAGCTGAAACATCCGTGCTGCATCGGGCACAGCAGTGAATGGGACAACAGGACAGCTCTATCACGTTAGTTGTTGTGCTTGGCCGTCACTGGTGAAGGTACCCACAAACCCACCTTCCTAAGGCCCCTGTGGAGGCAGCCAGGCTGGCGAGACAGGGCAGAAGGGGCTAAGCCCAACTGAGACAGCGCCAGCGCCTCCTGCCCCACCCTGCCTGACCCACGCACTTACACTTTGAGGCCGGGCGAGTCCTCTGTGTAGAAACGCCACATACCACCGGTGCCTGCCGAGGTGGTGCGGCCAGCGCTCCGTGTGCCACAGCTCGCGTTCTTCCTGCAGGGAAACCAGGGCGCCCGGGCACCGCGTCACATCACGGCCCAGCCTGCCGACACCCGCTCCCCACCCGCAATCCCGGCCCGCCACCGCCGCCCACCCCCGGGCGGGTGGCGCTGCGTAGAGGGCGCGGACGCGCACGTACCTCTGTCGGACTGTGGAGCCGGCAGCTCGTGGCGCCACGGCCTTGCTGGGGGAGCGGCCGGCGGCGCCGACGTTGGTGGCGCTGGGGTTGGGGCCCGGCTGCGAGGGAAGAGACGGAAGAGCGGTGATTGGCGGGTGAGGGGGTCGCGGGGGGAAGGCGGGGATTGGGAGCAGGGACAAGGGCGGCGCGGCCGGGAACTCACCATGTCGACTACGGAGCTGGAGCGGAGCCTCTAAAGCCTGCGGCGTCCAGTGCCGACGTGTCCCGGCTCTCGCGAAGCCCCACCCCGCGAGCCGCTAAGACTCCGCGCCTGCCCGCGGCACTGCCTGATTCGCAGCCCAGCACACGGCGGCGCCCGAGTGGGCAGCGCTGCCTCTCCGCCAGGCGGCGGCCTCGGGGTACCCCGGCCGCTACTACAGCCAGCCGGGGTGTCGAGAGGGACGCCCGAAACGTGCAGGCAGTGCCCCGGGCACCTACGCGCGCTAAGGCTGAGGTGTCCCTGGCTGGCCCAGCGGCGAGGCGGGGCTGTGGCCGCGCATGCGCAATGGTCCGTGCCGCGTGGCCCGGCGGCAGAGGGCGGTCATGGCGGGGCCCGAGCCGGGTCCGTCTGTGCTGTTCCTGCACCCGGACCTGGGCCTGGGCGGCGCGGAGCGGCTAGTGGTGGACGCGGCGCTAGCGCTCCAAGCGCGCGGGTGCCGCGTGCAGATCTGGACGGCGCACTACGACCCGGCGCGCTGTTTCGCGGAGACGCGGCGCTTGGCAGTGCGCGCCGTCGGGGACTGGCTGCCGCGCAGCCTGGCCGGCCGCGCCCACGCGCTCTGCGCTGCGCTGCGCATGCTCTACGTGGCGCTGTGCGCGCTGCTCTGCGCCCCGCCACCCGACGTCTTCGTCTGCGACCAGGTGCGGCCCGCGGGGTGTGGCGGGAGCAGGGCCCTCTGGGACGCCGGAGGACCGCCAGACCGTTGCGCTTCAACGAGTGGAGCTGGCTGAAGTGACCCTGGCGTGAGCTGGGTAGCGTGCCCTAGACTGAGCCCTGTGCAGAGCAGCGCTCCCAGGGCACTCCCCAGAGGTGACCGAGCAATAGTGCGCAGGCGCTTGCGGTTCAAGTCCCCACAGCGTGATGGAAGTATGAGATAGGACTTGACCCTTATACGCGCAATGGCGAAACCACAAATCAGTCCTGAGCTTGCACTGGCTCTGTGTTTACAAAGTGTTGGGGCTTGGTCTGTGTGATACAGATTTGTGTGTCATCTGATTCTTGACATCATGATTAAATAAACCTCTCTCTTACTTTTTTTCTGTCCCACCCCTGTTGCTTAGGTGTCTGCTTGTATCCCAGTTCTTAAACTGGCCAGGAATCGTAAGAAAGTTTTGTTTTACTGTCACTTTCCTGATCAGCTTCTGACCAAAAGAGAATCTTTTCTTAAACGCATTTACCGCGCTCCGCTGGACTGGCTGGAAGAGTACACCACTGGCATGGCAGATTGCATTGTCGTCAACAGTGAATTTACAGCAAACGTCTTTGCGGATACCTTTAAGTCCTTATCTCACATAAAGCCTGACGTCCTATACCCTTCGTTGACTGTCAGTGCCTTTGAATCCATAGTTCCTGTAGAAATAGCAAATGTAATTCCCAAACACACCAAAAAAATGTTTCTTTCAATTAATAGATTTGAAAGGAAAAAAAATCTAGCGTTGGCTCTAAATGCCTTACATGATCTCCGTGGGAGACTTGTTGCTCAAGAGTGGGATGACATTCATCTAGTTTTGGCAGGTGGCTATGATGAAAGGGTGTTGGAAAACGTGGAACACTACAAGGAACTGAAGGATATTGTGACCAGACTTAATCTTGGTGAGCACGTCACTTTCCTGAGGTCTTTTACAGATGAACAAAAAATCTCTCTTCTCAGTAACTGTATGTGTGTGCTTTATACACCAAGTAATGAACACTTCGGTATCGTTCCTTTGGAGGCTATGTATATGAGATGTCCAGTCGTAGCAGTTAATTCAGGTGGCCCTTTGGAATCTATTGTAAATAATGTCACAGGATTTTTATGTGACCCTTCTCCAACACAATTTTCTGAGGCCATGGAAAAATGTGTGAAAGACCCTCTCTTAAAGAATACAATGGGAGCAGCTGGAAGAGCGAGAGTTATGGAAAAATTTTCATCAGAAGCATTCACGGAACAGCTGTACCAATACATATGTAGATTAACACAATAACAATTATGTTCTCTTGCACGTTTTAACCACTTGTTAATATGAAACTGTTGTGAAAGCTAACATCCAAAATAGCACGGGTATGATAAAATATTCAGAACATTTGAATTTATCTTTTAATTATGCTGCTTATGCTATGTTTGCTAGTTCTTGCCACCAAAGAAACCCAATCAAAGGGAATTTTAATTGAAGATTCAATCTGTCAAAAGGGTGACAGATTTGTTGTCGTAGTTGAAGGCCCTGATCAAATTCTTGTCCTATGTATGACATAATAGAAGGAACAATAACCATTGCTAGGCTTTCTAATTTCCTAAATTGTGTCCTTCATGACAGAAGTGACTTAAAATTATATAAAATACTTGCATAATAACTGCAGAGAAGTTTAAATAAGGATTGCCATGCATTTGGGGTTTTTTTTACTGTTGTAACTTATCCATAGCTTTCCATTTGAATGACTCTTTAAATGTCTGCCAGATATCTGTAGATTTTTCTTTTTGTTGTTTTTTGTTTTAATGCCAGTCAGTAGCTTCATCATCATCATGAGTAGTCCTAGACTGTGTTCTTCCTCTAATGGTATAATAGCCATACCTAACATTATGATCCCAGAACCTACTGTTTTTACAGAGCTAGCAGAACAATGAACTCAAAGATGTTAAAATCTCTTGAGCAAAAATGGGATAAGGAATCGCCTGCCCGTTAGAGATCTTTGAATACTGGCTACTACACTAACATTTTACTTTGCCACAGAATTGCTTACTATATTTAAAGAAGTTTTTAACTTCTGACTCCAAAGTTTTCAGTTTCTTAATTGTTTCTGTTAAACATGTAATTATATATTTTTTTATGAAATGATATTCTGACAGAAAAAGTGATGACTTCCAGCTTGCTAAAATAAATAAATAAATGGGATCAAATAAAATGCAATTAATTTTGTCTACTAGACCTTTCTCAATATGGTTTTCCTTAGCTGATTAACTCTCCCTCCCCAGCTGTAGCTTGAAGTGTAAAAACAGGTCTCTCGTCTTTCTTCCCTACCCCTTTAAAGTTGTATTTTATAGTCCTGAAGTGTGCAAAAATGGTCATCTGAATTAACATTTCCCACAATCAGAATCTTTGAAAATTATTTTTTAATAGAGGGTTTCATTTATAGCACAAATGAGATTAGGTCTTTAAAACAAAGGTGGTGCATGAGGTTAAAGCCAGAGAAGCTTATAGAACTCATGTCTATGGATTGCGGAAATTGGACAGACCAAGAACATAATATGGGTATGAAGTGAAATGCAGCCTTAAGTACTGATCGTGCAATCTACTCTAAGCAGATTTGAGTAGGGAGTTAGTTTCAGGATCAGGGCCCTAGATATATTTTGTACACAGTGGTTTTCATAGTGGGTGATGTCCTCCTGGTTGTAGACATCACTTGGAAAGATTACAAGGTATTGTTATTTTATGGCATCATATGGCTTTCTAAAATGTTCCTCTTAGTTTATTGTCTCTGTTATATACTGTATACCCTAAAGTTTATATTTTGACCAGAAAACCTGGTAGGGACACAAGAAGAGCTAACACTTTTATGTAATAAATTTGTGCTTTCCATCTGTGGACAAAGAACATCTGATTTTTTTTAAATACCTCAAATAATTTTTACTGATCTGTATTTACTTGTTTTTGTGAGTTTTGTTCTACAACACAAAAGTTGTATGTGATAAAATAAAATTACATTTAATCTTACAAAGGTAGGTCCTGCATAATTTCTTCATTCTTTTGAGACCTGGGTTATATGTACTTGCATATTTAAGGTAATTGGACAACAGGACAAATAATTTTTGGCAGTTCTTATTTTTGGTTCCCTAGAATGTAATGGCTACTTGAACTCCCAACAGTAGCAGCATGCTGCAGAGGACTAAGCAGCAGGCTAAGTAGGGTTCCAATCCTATCATTGTTTTGTGAAGTTTCAGCAAGATGCCATCTCTCACCTATCAGTCTTGCTGGTTTGTTTTGTAATTTTGGCTTCAGCCTTTTGCCTCTTCAGTTTGCTTTAAGCAAATAAAGTGTTCCTTCAAGTTCAGCATGTAAAGTTTCTAGTAAGAATGAAAATACAATTTTAAGTAACAAAGCACAAGCTAGTGAGTGGAAAAGCAAGAACCTGTTATCTCATGGTCAGTTAAGGAGACCTCTTCAATAGGCAGAATCCTTCAGGAGTTGGTTCACTAATTAGATGGTTGGCAGGTATTTCCACACAAATCCACAGTGACCTTATTTAAATCTACTTAATTTCACAGCATCTTGAGTAAGACAATTTATACTAGATTAGATCATTTCTACCAATGAGAATGTTGATGTCTCAAGCCATCAGTATCTTATAGATAGGCCTGTGCGAGTTGGCACTGATCCGATCTGGCTTTGGATCCAGCTGCTTCGGGTGGCAGTGATCTGATCCGGAGCTCCAGACAGGGTTTCTGCCTCAATCCAGCTGAAGTGGCTCCGAAGCTTCGGAGACTTCTCGGATATCCAGCCATAGGGTATAATGGGGGAATCAATGAAATATCTATAACTTTGTTGTTTTTTGTCTGATTTGGATGAAACTTGTAGGGGTGGTAGCCTCTGCTGAGAGTCCCACGAGCACCCATGGCATGAGTTTTGCCTGTCAGCAGCTAGGGGTGCAGGGCCTCAGAGCCCCCCTGCACCAATCTCAAGAGCTGGCAGGTGGCATGGCCGCAGCAGGGGCCACCATCCCTGCAGCTGTCACCCTGCTGCGCCTTAACACAGCCACCCATGGCACAAGTTTTGCTTGTCCACAGCTTGAGGGTCAGTTCCCCCCCAAACCCCTGCACCAATCTTGAAACTTGGCAGGCTTTGTGACCTCAGTAGAGGCTACCACCCCTGCAGTTTTGACCCTCCTGTGTTGTAACACATAGACGTGACGTGAGTTTTGCTTTCAAGAATTTGGGGTGCAGTTCCCCCCAAACCCCTGCACTGATCTTGAAACCTGGCAGGCTTCATGCTCTCTGCAGAGTCTACCACCCCTGAAAATTTCATCCAAATGGGACAAAAACCAAAGTTATAGATTGTGTATTGTTTTCCCATTATACCCTACGGCTGGATCTCTGAGGCGTTTCCAAAGCGCTTAGGAAGCTCCGAAGCGCTTTGGGAAGCCTAACGAGGCCAATGCTTTGACCCAGACATGCTGCTTCGGACTCTGAAGCGTCCAAAGCTTCTCCAGATCCGAAGTTCTGTCCGAAGCCTCGCACAGCCCTACTTCTAGAACTTGATAATATGTGTTGTGCAAGCTTGTCAATTAATGGATTAAACTTAAAAATCTTTAATCTTTAATCCACTATGTACTAATAGTGGTATAATATTACCATTTACACTAGGGGTGTTCAACCTGTAGCCTGCAGGACAGATCCAGCCCAAGTTTCCAAACCCATGGGGAGCCTTGCCAGACATAGAATGGCCCTGTGCTCTGGGTCAGGTGAAGTGGGACCTGGGCAGCAACCCCGTAGATTAGTGTCGCACCATACATCCAGTCCACACAGTCAAAACAATGAGCATCACTGGTTTACACTAACACTGACAGTGATGCCAGGCTAATTATGTAGAGCAGCGGTTCCCAACTTCAGGTCACGACCCAAATGAGGGCTGTGGGGGCAATGCCATCAGTGCTGCACACAAAAGATGAGCCATGCTGGGAGCTCTCTGCCCCAGGCCGACACTGCTGCCACTGCCGCACTCCGCTCCAAGCAGCAGGTCGAGGCAAAAAAAGTTTGGGAACCACTAATGTAGAG